ATGTCTACATTTTGCTCAAGTCTTGAGTCTTTGTGGGAAAATGAGATTAAGGGCAGCGGGGTAATTTGGCAGAGGAAATTTCAAAGCAGCCCACCATTCAGTCTGTGGCATAGGTACCATTGGGGGCTTTTAGCCAGCTCTATATTGAGAATCAAGAGCAAATGGCTATTGACTTTAAGTTTTGAGTTTCACCGGGTCTGTAAAGTTGGAGCAGAGAGTATCTTTGTGGCTAAAAAGATTATCATTAAAAGGAAGCCAGGGGCCAGGGATTTAGCTCAGTGGTGCTGCACCTGCCTCGTAAGTACAAGGTCCTGAGTTGGATACCCCGGTACCAAAAAAAAAAAGGAAAGCAGGTGCTTTACAACAGGACAATAGGAAAAGTGCCTTGAGGACATGTGAGGAACCAACAAAGCCCCACACTCTCACCCTTCAGAGACCCAAAATTGCAAAAGTGAAGGACTTCACTTTGAGATGAGAGGCCCGGGCATGGGGCTACCGAATAGAGGATTTGTTCTTCGGATTAAGTTCATAATGTCTCGGCCATCCAGCCCTCAGATATCTCTGTAGCCATGATTCAAGGGCCCAGCTACTGTTCGAGATGGCAGCAGCTCTTGGCATCATCCATATGGTACTAGTTTTATAAGCATGCAGAATGTAAGAGTTGTGGCATCAGGAAGGCTTCCACCCAGATTTCAAAAGAAAGCCTGGGAAGCCAGGCAGTGTGCCCCAGAGAGGGCAGTGCATGAAACTGTTACAGTGAAGCTGAAATTCAGTGGAGACCCCAGAAAGTTTTAGAAGCCAATAATACGGAATGTCTGAGAAAAGCCACAAGGAGTGAGCAAAGCCAGCCCAGAAGAAAAGTTACAAAGGCTGAATCCACCAGCAATGCTGTAGGAGCGGAGTCATGCAAGCCATTTGGACCTTACATCTTCACCATTGGTGCTGGACTTGGAGCTGCAGGATTTAATGTTTGCCCTGTTGGGTCTCAGTCTTTCTTTGATCCTATTTCTACCCACTATTCCTCCCTTTTGGAATAGGAATGTTTATCCTGTGCTATTGTATAGTTAGCAGTGTTTTAACTTTCTTTTTGAGTTTTACAGGAGCTCACAACTAAGAATTTGACTTAAGTCTCAGAGTAGACTTTGGAATTGAACTTTCCAGCAATGCTCAAATTGTTGGGAATTGGCAACTCTTAGAGATGAACTAAATGTATTTTTCATAGGCCAGGCGTGGTGGTGCACACCTGTAATCCCAGCACTCAGGAGGCTGAGGCAGGAGGATCACTGTGAGTTTGAGACCAGCCTGGACTACATAGTGAGTTCCAGGTCAGTCTCAACTACATAGTGAGACCCTGCCTCAAAAAAAAGTATTTTTCATAAAGAGATACACATGAGTCTTTGGGCCAGGGGCAGAATGTTATGGTTTATATGTAGAAATCCCCCAAAGTCGTATGCAAACATGGACAGGGCTTTAGAGAGGTAATTGTATCATGGGCCTGCTATACACATGGGTAGATTAGTTCACTGATGAATTTACAGCTTAACTGTGCTATTACTAGGAGGTAGGGCCTGGCCGCAGGAGGTGGGTAATGGGGGACATGGCCTGGAAGGGTATATTTCTCTCCCTAGCTCCTCTCTTGACTCTGCTTCCTATCTTCCAGGACATGAGCAGCTCTCCTCCTCCATGCTCCTCTGCCATGTGGTCCTGCTTTGGAGCCAGCCAGATATGGACTAAAACATGAGCCAAAAAAACTTCCCCTCCTTTAAATTGTAGGTGTTGGGTATTGTGTCTCAGTGATGAGAAAGTGACTAAGACATTGTCCTGTCTGCTCTCATTATTTAAATTATATGTATTAATTTTTCAAAAACATCAATGTAAAACAGTGATGCCTTGGTTCTAGTATCCATTCCCAAGAGGATAGCCTGACCCATAGTTTCTGCCAGGCTGCCCTTTTACCTGCACCGCAGCACCTGGCACAACCGTGATCATGACATTGTGTTACATGAGCACCCCAAGGCCGTGGCAGGTGCATTTGTCTCGAAATCCTCTGGTACTTGGTGAGTTCTCAGGATGAGTGCTGCTGGTGGCCAGTCCTCCTAGGAGCTCCCTGATGGTGGTGAGTCATAGAATCTGCCTGACTAGTTCCTGAAGAAGGGATTTGGTCCACTCCAGCAGTCTGAGGAAAGTCAAGTGGGCAAGAGGGTTTGTGAACACAGGAAACCAGCACTGTACTCCCAAGCTGTGGGCCAGAACCTTTCCTGTGACAAGGGGGCTGCAGTCATACGGACATCTATTCCTCTGTGTCTGCTGAGGCAGATCAGATGAGGAGGGTGAGGTGGGTCAGAACAAGAGAGGACTTGATAGGGAATTTCACTGAGTCTTCTGAGAATTGGTAGCAGAACCTGCAGTGGGGCAACCACAACCGCTTCTTGGCCTGTGGGTACTTCCTGTGACAAATCTCGCTGACCACATGTTGACTGTGGGCTGGCAACTCACTCAAGCTCTTGTCGTCACTCGGGCTAGGCTGCTCCTGGAGGGACAAGGGTCCAGAGCATAGGCTCTGAGCATCTCTGTCAGCCCCAGTATGCCAAGCCCCCTCTCGGCCACAGTTCTCTCTGAGAACAGGTGACATCCTGGAAGATGGCCACATGACACCAAAGAGTACTGTGGCACAACTCCAGGAAGAGAGGTTTGACCCAGAGAGAAGGTCTGCGTCGTGAGGTTGCCTTGTGGAAAGGAGGCTGGCCGGGATCAGCAGGGGCATTGCACATGTTAGCTTCAGAAATGTCAGCGGCACAGTAGGAGTGGCTCTGCTGGACTGAGTGGAAGCCATGTGCCCGGCTGTCTCTTAGTCACCCTACCTTGCAGTTAAGAAAACAGGGGTCCAGAGGAAGTATGTGTCTTACCCAGAGTCCTCAGCTGGCATGTGCCAGCACCAAATTACACTACATCCTGGTGATGGCCCTCAAATGTAGAGGCCCAGGGAGTAAAAATGATCCTGCCAACGATGTCACAGAAGAGGCCTATGTGGAGGATGAAGAGGCCTTGATTTGTGTCATTCGTCTCTGTCCTTAGCCCCTCTCCCAGGACTGTCAGTGTTGGTGAGCATCAGACTGGTCAAAGCAAAGTCTTAATGTCTTGGTTTAGAAATGAGGACTCTGGAAAGAACACGAATGCCCTGGTGCTGGGCATTTGGTGTTGCCTGGCAGGGAGTGGGTGCAAAACCTATCTTTATTTCATGCCTGCTGAGTGCTGGGACTAGCATTTCCTAGCTCATGTTCCTCATCACCACCGAGGAGCATGTGTTCTCTCCCTGGTTCACAGGTGAGGGAACGAGAGGACAGGCTAGGTATCTTACTTGAGCCCTCTCAGCAGGCAGCTGGAGAGGGAAAGGTCTGGAAGTAGCCCCCATCCTCCTTGGCTGTCCTGGGCCCAGCCTAGAGCAGAATTCCAGCTCCAGGCAGTGGCCATGTGCCCCAAGTGCTCTCACTCGGGGCTGCCCCACCCAGTCAACCTGTTCTGGAGGCTGTGGAACAGTGGGGAAATCCGAGGGTGGCAGGTTCCTGCCCAGACCTGCCCTCCATGCCTGTGGGTCCGTTCCGGAGGGTCCTTCATCCAGACTTGTCTGGCTTCCACATGCATGTGACTGTTCTCCCTGTGTAGCTTTGAGCTGAGGACCACTCACTGTCCCCTGCCTAAGGACTGGCTGATCCTTTTGTGCAGGCACGATCAGGTTAGGCTGTGTCACAAGCATGCCAGGGGCCACAGCCCTGTGGCTTCACAGTCCCTTCACTGCCATGCAAGCTCCTTGCAGGGACCAACCTATGAACCTAAAGCTTCTGTTCATTCATCTATAAAGCACAGATGATCCCTCTGTAGTGGCTTTGTGGAGTAGATGTCGTCAGATCTGGGAAGGGTCTGCCTTGGGCCATGTGGGCATGTCACCTGCTGCTGTCTTCCTCATGTCTACTGGACAGATCTGGCCACTGTTTCCACACCTGGCCCTCTAGGGACCACTTGACCTTTCTCTGTTTTGTATTGTGGTTTTCTGGAATCCACGTACTGTGAGAATTAGCTATCAGACGTGGCCTTTCCCTGCCACTTTGGTGTCTAACTGTGGGCCTGGTAGCACTGCCACTTGCAGTGAGTGTGTTGACAGGTGATGGGCAGGGGCATCAGGATCCATCTCCAACTCAGAGAATCAGTGGAGTGACTAGGGCTCCCCAGGGAAAAGTGAGGGCTGAGTCCGGGCCTGTGTAGCCAGGAGCGGCCAGCCTGTGAGGCACAGAGAAGTTAAGTGACTTACTCAGAGTCACAGTGTGGCAGAAGGACGCGAGCCCAGGTGGCTCTCTTCCTGCCACCTGGCTGTGCAGGTGCATATGCAGCAGGTACTCTCAGCCTCCCTTCAGCTCTCCAGACCCATGGTTGCTGTGCTGATGGGTGAGGTGTCAAGGTAGGCAGCAAAGTGTGTCCCAGACTGGGGATCCAGACACCTGGCTGGCACTGCCCCAGGTATGTGGCTTTCAGCACCTCCCTTCACCCCTCTGGGCAGCAGAGTCCACTTGTGAAGTAGGGATTGGACCAGAATAAAACTCAGCAGTGTTTTTCCTAGGTAGTGAATGTTTTAGGCTCTGTAGGCTGTGCAGTCTGTCACCACTACACCACTCTGTCATTGTAGCACACAGGCAGCTGTAGACAGTAGGTAAACAATGAGTATGGCTCTGTGCCAATAAAACTTTATGTACAAAAACAGGTGGCAGGCAGATTTGTTCCTGGGTGGAGGATCTTGCAGCGTTCCTCCAGCCCGTGCTATTCTGAGATCTGCAGCTGCGCTCGATGCAGGGTAGGAGCTAGAACCCAAGCTGTGGATTAATCACCAGTCTGCTTTGATGCTGGTCAAGAAATTAGCATCTGTCGATTTCTAATGTGGTTGCATCCCATGAGGGAGCTAGGGGGGAAGTTTCAATCTTTGGTAACTAGTTCTGTTTTTCTTTTTGTAGAACGCAGAGATGTATAAACTGTCCTCACAGCAATTCCACGAGGCAGCTTCGAAAGCTGAGAACTCAATCAAGTAAGAGTTTGCTTATTGTTCTTTGTAAACTTGGCCTGCATTTGTAAAAATTTTCTCATGTGGCTTGAAGCCTGCTGCTACCTACCTAATTTCAGATTTCTCTAATAACACGGGCAACCATCTGTTCCTCGGCTCTCTTACCTGAATCTGAGATAGCCATTGGTCATCAGTAATTGGGCAAATTAGCATTCGGTTCTTCCTAACTCCTTGGCAAATCTTGCGGGGCTGAGACAGACTCCAGAGTTGTTTCAGGCTCAGTGTATGCTGAACAGGCACGGTCTTCACAGCGATCAGGCAGGGTACTGCTGGCCTTCTGCCCCTTGGATTTGGGGGCAGGGCTGGGGTTTGCAGCATGTCTCCAGTAAGAGCCTCCTGCGCAGCTGGGATGTGCAACATGCCTCATACATGCGGAGTTCCCAATGGGCCAGGCTCTACCCCCGAGGAGCTGAGGCTCAGGAAAACTGTTGGCTTGCTCAGGTGACACAGTTGTGGGTACCAGCACTGTCCCATCTACTACATTCCTCTGCTGTCCTCAAGCGTTCTGAGCTGGGATGTCAGGAGCAGGGAGGTGTGTGCTGTGTCCTTTATAAATGCAGCTCTCCTTGGTCCAAGTGCAGGGTCCTGGGAAGTCAGAGGAGACCTCTTGGAGGAGGACATGGACCTTGGGAGTTCTCTGTGTGAAAAAGATCTCTGTGGACCCAAGTGACCACAGTGAGCCCCAGTCTCCCCCTTCCAGGAGTGAAGCAGGGTGATTCACCAGACAAATCTATCATGGTACAGAATGGTTGGGTCTGACACCATGAGAAGGAAACATCAGAGAGGAGTTTGGGGAACTAGGAGGTGACAAAATACTTGTGAAAATGTTGCAGAGAACCATAGAGGAGCCAGGAGGATGGTGGGGACAGATGTCCAGTCATAGCAGACCTAAGGGCACAGAACAGCACAGGGAGCATTGTGGGATTTTATTCCTTAGTGGGAGACACTTGTAGCTGTGGAACACTAGGCTGTGGCAGAACCAATTAAAGAATGGGTTTTGGGAAAAGAAAACAATTGTCTTGAAATTTCAAGTCCTAGAGCAAGAATAGGAACATGTGAGGAAGAGACTTTTCCAGCTTGCCTATGGGGACGAGGAAACGTTGAGTGGAAGCAGCAGCCCTGGGCACTGGGGCCTCACAGGGAAGGCGGGCGCCTGGATGTGCTTGTGCCGCCTGCATGCCCCGGCCGCTGGTCTCGCTGGGGGAAGCTCAGGGGCCTGTTTCTGAAGACTTCTTCCCTGTGCAGCAGGTTTATTCAGCACTATGAAATACTCAGAATGTCAACTCGGAGAGGGGGAGGAGCAGCCACATCAAAGAGGCGGCTAAGTGACAGCCAGCGCAGTAATGTGACCCCTGGCAATGGGAGATGCACAGCCTGGGGCCCCTCCCCCTGTACACCTGGAGGAAGGAGCAGCCTGCCTGCCAAGGGAAGAGGCTCCGGTGGGGTGGGCGGGGGCCGGAGGGGGAGCAGACAGCTTTGCAGTCAGTGGCCACTGCCCTGTGATACACGCCTTTGTGAATCTGACTCCAGTGTCACAGGCTTTTCCATCCCTCTACCCTCTGAAGGCAAGGGAGAGACGGATGCGAGCGCGTCTCTAGTCTAAGTGAAGTGTAAGGGTTTTGTTTGTTTGCAGTGTCCCTTGACAGTAATTACTCCTTTTCTGAGCACATCACTGTGGGGTAGGTACGCCGCTAGGCCCCTCAGTTCTCTCCTGCTGTGAGCTCCACATGACAGGCGCAGAGCCGAGGCCAGGGAGGATGGACACCTCCCCTGCCATGCTGGTGTGGAGTTGGATCAGGAATGTCCTCCAGAGCCCTGTGCTGAAGGCCAGTCTCAGCCCATGGCACTGTTATGACACAGAGAGACTGTTAAGAGGAGGCCACCAGAAAAGAAACCCTTCTCTACTGTTGGTGGGAGAATAGACTGGTGGAAATCAGTATGGAGAGTCCTCAAAACCTAGAATTAGAGGTCCCATTTGACCCAACTATTCCCCTCTGGGTATCTTCCCAAAGAATTAAAATAATCATGCCACAGTGATATATGTGCACCCATGTTCACAGCGGCACAGTTTGGAATAGCTAAAACTTGGAAACAGCCTAGAAGCCCATCAACTAGAGACTGGATAAAGAGGATGTGTTTTTGTTTTTTATAAAATGGAGTACTACTCAGTCATAAAGAATGATAAACTAGAGACATTTATAGCTACATGGATGCACATTGAGGCCATACTAAAGTGAAATAAATAGGACACACATGTAAATATTGAATAGTTTCTCTGGTATGAGAAACTGAAAGTATAAATAAGGATCAAAATGTGTAATAGATCATTTGAAATATGAAGAAAAGGTCCAAAGGGGAAGGGGAGGTACAAGGGGTAGGGAAAAGAAAAGATGGGGAAGGAATAAATATGAAATAAGGAAAAAATGGAAACAAAGTCTTTGTAAATAAGGAGTTATGAAGGGAAGGCAGGGGAATGGGGGAAGAAATAAGAACCAAGATCTACCATGTAAAGGTACAGATTCCCAATGATGAATGTCATCATAATGTGTACCTACGATGTATCAATAAACTTAATGAATAAAAAAGAAAAAAGGAGGCCACCCGTAGTGTGCCCTTGGAGGGGACACTTGGGCCCTGCCCTGCCCTTTTGTTCTTTGCTTCCCTGTGGTCTGGAGGTGATCAGACTTCCTGTTTCACACACTCCCACTACGATGGGCTGCATTGCTACAGGCCTAAAGCCACTGGCCCAAGAGACTGCAGACTGAAACCTCCACACCTGTGAGCAAAAGGGAACCTTTCTTCCTTTCACTGATTTTCTCATGTCTTTTGGCACCATGACAGAAAGCTGACTTCACACAGCTGGTTGTGTGTCAAGCCCGGGGTTCCAGCTTAGCTCAGAGCCACGTGCTTACCTGATGTCTGCACTGTTGTGTCCCCGATGGCCCTCTCTCAGCGTGAGACGGGCAGCAGGTGGAGCCCTTCGAGCCTGCCTGGGCAGTAGAGCTGGCCCATTCCAGCTCTGCCTGCATACCTGCCACTTACTGGTCTAGGACAGCTGCTTGACGTTTTGACTGATGAGTGAACGAGACCCACCCGGAAAACAGACCCAGCGTGTCAGCAGTTGGTGTTAGCGTGACTGCTATAGATGGAATCTGTGCCACTCAGAAAGCTGGCCAGTGTGGAGCACGCCAGGCCTCATGAGGATAGGGCCTCATGGGGTTAGTGTCCTTGACCGGTGCTAGAGTGCCCCTCTGCTCCCATGTTGCCAGGACTGGAGAGAAAGCACCATCTGTGAACCAGAGAAGCAATTCCTTGCCGCTCACTGGGTCTGCCGTGCCTGGATCTGGGCATCCCAGTCTCCAGCACCACGAGAAATGAATGTCTGTTGTTTCTAAGCGCCTTGCTTATAGCACTGTGCTACAGCAGCCCAAATGGGCTGAGTGCTGTTATTAATGATGGCAATTATTTCAATCACTGTTATAGCACCTGCTTGGGACAGAGCAGATTTGATAAATAAATTGATTTTCCAAAATACTTAGTCTTTTCCCAAGCATAGTAAACAGGATGTGGCATAAAGTTAGAAACTTTTTTCCTTAAATATCAAGGGCAAAAAATCTTTGGGAGATTTCTTGGATTAGCAAATGATTGTAGATTGCATTGTAAATGTCATAGAAATAAATGCCAACTGCTGGCAGCAGTAATATTGGAAGTTTTCTTCCAAGACAGCTTTGGGTAAACTGAATGGTTATGTAGATGGTAAACTAGATGTCCATGTTTTCTTTCACTTACTTAACACACGTATATAAAACATGAACTTCTTGCCAAGGCACCATGCTAGGCCCCAGGGATACAGAAATGAGCAAGACAGCTGTAATCGCTGCCAGCAGGGAACTTAGAGCACTACGGAAACAACAAACATCAAACAACAAACATCATTTTAAAATTAATTTGCACAACAAGCAATTGCCCAAACAGCTGTTGATTATAGTAATGAGTGCCCTGAAAGAAAGAGTTAAAGTTTGGGTCAGAGGAACCTAATTTAGATGTAGACTTTGAAGGAAGCTTCTCTGAGGGAATGATGTCTATGCTGGTTCCTAGAAGTTGAGAGTTGGCCCGAGGAAAAGGGGAAAGTCCTTCAAACCAGTTTCAGCATATGCAAAGGCAATGAGGCAAGACGTAGTCTATTCAAAGAACTGAAATAAGGCCAATGTGGCTGAGGGTAATAAATAAGAAGAGAGACAAAAGTGAAACTCCAATCAGGAGCCAGACCATGCAAGATTTTGTAACCACAGTAGGAGTTTTAATTTGATCTGAAGAGCAGTGAAATGGTCATGTACTACACACTGCTTCGGTCAACAGTGGAGCACGACATACACAGTGGTGATCCCGGGAGGTCACAGTGGATCTACCACATTCCTGTTGCCTGCACTATTGAGCCACCATAATGCCATGGCACACCCAGTACATCACACTCACGTTTGTGGCAGTGCTGCAGCACCAGTGTGTGGTAGAGCATCTGCAATTATGTACAGTGCATAATAGGCGGTGATGATAAGTAACTGTCTCACTGGCCTGAGTACTTCATGTGCTGTACTTAGAATGTATGCACTGTACTTATTGTTTTAAAAAATTACAGCAAGATGGTAGAACCTCTTACATCTTGGTCCAAGTCTCTCAACAGATGAAGAGTTTGTGGGTGGCTGACGGCCTTTGTAGGTGGGTGTACCCCGGTGTCCACAAAGCACCATCTCCTGGAGACCCCTCTCTCGTGCAGTGCATGACTGTACCCCTGCTGGCTTTCTTTGTAATCTGTGCCCCTAAACCTGTGAATTTCTCCATCTGTAAACACAGCATTAGCTATAGCCTACATATTGTATTATAATTCAGTTTACAAACCTTCTAATTTTCATTCTGATTTTCATTTGAAGAAGCATGTCAATTTCTAAACATTTGAGAATTTTGTA